CTCCGCCACTGCCCGTCAAGGAGGAACCTGGAGCGACCCAGGCAGAGCGAGGCAAAGGGCAGCTCCAGCCTTGGGGGGGGGCTCCTGGGGGTCACTGCCGGCAGCTCCGTCACCTCATCCTGCGCGCGGTGGCACCGGGGAATGTCCCACGGGTGAACGTATAGGGAAGACGGGAGACTGTCGCCTGCCACTGCAGCGGGGGGCAGGGGAGCCCCGAGAGTGGGGCTGGGGCAGGAGGACCACAACCTCTCTGCTCCCTCCCGTCACTCTGAGGAGCCTCTGTGGCAGCACAGGGCCACGCAAAGGGACGCTCTGGCCCTTTGCCACCACCCTGGGCTTCACTGGGCACCCCCCGGTACATCCCAGTCCCTTGCGCTGTGCCCAGCACCCTGCTGTGAACCCCAGGGCTGGGCAGAGGGACAAGGACCTCCCCCCCTCCAGTGCTCTGCCCAGGGCAGCCCAGTGTGCCCCAGTTCCTGCTGCCCACCGAGCCCCACTGCTTGCATGTGACATGGCCACCGTAGCCACAGGGAGTGCCCTCGGTGGATATGGCCACCACAAGCTCAACCTCCGCCCGTGGCAGCAGCCACGGTGGGTGAGCCACAGTAGGGGTGTCCCTGGGGTGTTGTCACCCACCACTGTCCCCAGCGTGTCCCCTGGGGTGTCACTATCACCCTGGGTGCTCCCAGGGTGTCCCCCAGGATTGCAATCCACACGCTCCAGGGATGTCATCGTCACCCCCCCCCGGGCCAAAGCGAGGGGACGTGAGCGCCGCCTGTGCCCTGGGGTGCCACCAACCTGCGAGTGCTGCCCCTGGGGACCCCCAAAACCAGGGTGGTTCCACCGGGGCACTGGGGCTGGGGTCTCCCATGCGGGGACAAACACGGCGGGCACAGGGCGCTGAGCCCCTTGAGGACATCCCGACCATGGCCAGGAAGGTCGAGCCTTCCTCAGGCGGGAGGATGAGCCACCAAATGGGACCGGGGACGATGGAGCGGCCCTGACCACCAAGGGGAGAGCTGCAGGCAGGAGGGAGGTATCACAGAATGGTGTAGGTTGGAAAGGACCTTGAAGATCATCAAGTTCCAACTCCTCTGCCCTGGACAGGGACACCTCCCACCAGCCCAGGTTGCCCAAGGCCACGTCCAGCCTGGCCTTGAACACCTCCAGGGATGGGGTCTCACCAACCTCTCTGGGCAACCTCTTCCAGTGCCTCACCACCCTCACAGGGAAAAACTTCTT